TGAGAAAGCAACTTTACAACTACTATTTATTTAACTTCACAAATTACATCAATTGGAATTTGGAAAGGCAACTTTCTTTTCCTAAAACAAAAAGACAAGGGAAAATTTTTTGGGCCATTTGAAAAAAAAAAGTTTTATTATGAACTATACAAATGAATGGATATTTCATGTTCATCTTTCCAGCCACTAAACTTTATTCAATGAACTGTTATATTCATTGAATTACCACATTCATGAAATCGGCAAACTTTATTTAATGTTTGAATTAAGTTTCATCCATGAATCTAGTCAAGTTCATCCAATGAATTTATGTAATATTCATTATCCCTTAGCCTCTATATAAATTGGCATTGTATGAAATTGAAACTAGAAATTGAAGAGTTAAAGAAATGGAAGAATATAAAGCATACTTCTAAAGCATTCTCATTTGTCATACTTTATGTTCTCTTCTTACCTCATAGTCTTGCCTTATCTTTATATATATTTATATATATATATATATATATATATCCTTACTTCTTCATACTTAAGTATCTCTTATTTTATAATACATTATTAGCATAAATTTTTTCTATGCAATCTGTCCTTGTGACCAATTTGAGGAAACGATATTTTTGAGGTAAGACTTTTGTCTTTATCTCCTATTATCTTCAATATACTTTCATGATTATTAAAGTTCATATATTATACTAATAACTTTGAAATTTTCGTAGTTATTATGGAAAATCTCAAAAATTTGAGGTTGTTGCCCTTGAGAAATTGAGCTCCAAATATTTGCTCTAAGCTCTCTAGATGATGATTCATTTTGTAACAATAAATCATAAAAATTTGATTATGGAAGGGAATAAAAAAATCCAATAAAAGAGAGAGAGAGAGAGAGAGAGAGAGAGAGAGAGAGAGAGAGAGAATTTCCTTGAGGGAAATTAAGCATCATTGTAGGATTACGTTAAAAGTATTGTTTCATTATCAAGTCCACAAAGGGCTAAAAGATGATATTTGATGATAAAAGATTCATTGGAATCTTGAAATAATTTGGAAGAAAGATACAATTACCAAATAAGAAAAAAAAATTCTTCCAAAAACTAGTTATGAGTGAATCCATTCCTTACTCGAATATAAATCTGCAAAGATTTTGAATTATTTCATGTGGAGAAAATGACTTTGATGAAAATATTTTAAGAAGATACACTCTTCTTCTAGGCCTCAAATGTGCTTCAATAGTAGCAATACCGAGAGGTCAATATTGATAGATATACCAAAGGTTACTATATCATTGCTGATATTTTGATCATCAATCACAACCCAATAGTTCACTCCCATTTCCTAAAATAGATGTAGTATTATATGATAATTATGGGTCTGAATGTGGTCATGATCATAGCTACAGTACTACTTGATATCAATTTAAGATTATGGAAATATTGAAGAAAAATATGCAAATTGGAAGGATTTGCATAAAAAGCCAACTAAAAATTATGAAAGTACTTCTTATAAATGTAACATGAAAGGCAAAATCCTAAGGGTACTTGTTATAAATGTGACATAAAAAGTCATTGTACGGTGTTGTACATCCAAGCAATTAGCTAATTTTATCAATTATCACACACACAAAAAAAAAAAAAAAAGAAAAAGAAAAGAAAAGTGCATTATTGAATTTCATTAAAAACATTATTATGATGGATATGCACTAGTGATACTTGTAATAAATAATTTGATATTAAAGTTGGATATCTCATATCCATTTGAAAATAATACTTGAGGATTTATATATCAAGATTGCGATGATTTACATTTCTACATAATACACTCTTAATGTGGGAATTGCATG